TGATACAAACATAAAGCCGAAGAAAAGTGTGAAAAGCATTAATATTATATATTTTGTAATTGGTCAAGCTAATGTTAATTGCAAAACGTCAGTGTTCGTAAATCAGATTAATAGCTTCCAGAGAACAGTTATTCTAGTTGCTGTCATATTGCTTTCAAAAATAACATTTTGCAAAGTGGAATTTGTGTTATTTTTGAAGGCCCAATGGGCCCTTGATTTTCCTGCTGTTTTGTTTTTCCTTTATGATTCAGGAAAATCACTTTATTCTGTTCATATTCAAAAGTCTTCCTCAACAAGATTTTTACCTTCTCCCAAATATTCCCAAAAATCATCTTTTAAATGACCTTGAAATAGTCTTGTGAGGCTGTCATTAGGAAAGTGTTACAATTGATTAAATTTTAGTGGGAAAAAGTGTATTTCTAATCTGTATATTTTGGAGCAAATGACTTGGAAATGATTTTGCGATATGAGACCTTGAGCACTGTAAGGTGTTTCCAGTTTAGCAAATTTTAGTGCCTATAGAATATCTCTGAATTGTAATGAAGAGAATTATAGGGAAGAAGACTGAGTTGGTTAGCATTCTAACAGCAGTGTGCTTTGGAACTTCCTGCCTTAGATTAAATATAAACTGCTACAACTATTGAGTCCAGCCAGAAATGCTAAGAGCTCATTAGATGTGCTGGAGACAGCTGCCATGGAAGATTTGGTGTGGTACTTGCAGTGATTTTTACTGTTCTGTCTTTTTCTTGACTGAATTGATGCAGCTGAATTAGCCATCATTTACAATTGATGTAGCATGACTTTAAGCACTAAGCTCTACAGATTCTGTCTTTATTTAAAGGACAAGAGAACAAAAGCTTGAAGTATTGTTAATGAGGCTGCTTTCGATTTTGTTTAATAAAATTATAATTGAGAGATTGCTGATGATATTCTTAATACTGGATGGCCTAAAAAGGTAGGATTAAAATTCTGAACATAGCTTATTAGCTATTTATAAAGCTAACGCTTTTACATTCTATTTTTCTTTAAGCTAAAGTTAAAGCATATAAAATTAAAGCTTAAGGAAAAACAGAATGTATAACTTATAAACCAATCAAAGAAGGAAAAACATTCATAAAGAAATTTATACTGATACAGGGAAAGGGGTAGCTCAGTGGTTGAGTGTGTGCTTAGAAATACAACTGAGTTCAACCCCCAGCACCAAAAATAAAATGAGAGAAAGTCACACTGATAAAATAAAGAAAAAAGGAGAAAAGCATGTTGAATGGGATACTCAAAATTAAGAGTATGGAAGTCATTATATCAGCAAAATAGTTAATGAATTAAAAATACAGATTCTTAGATTGTATTTTAAAAATTAAATTGCAAGAGCCAGTCTGGTTAGTTCCTAGGATTTTGTTTTTGTTAATATTTTATTGACATAAATGGTAGATTTTTATGAAATGAATTATTCAGACAACATTCAAAATGTCCACAATGACAACCACCATGGGGTAACTGGTACTGACTAGCCCTCCTGCCATTTATAGCTAGAAAACTGTATGAAGTAAACAAGCAACTGTTTTCAGATATTGGTCATTTGTCACCCAGACCTGACCCATGAGAGGAGAGTCCTGTAATTGCCCCAGCTTTCTGCCTGAGAGTATTTTTTTGGACCCTAGCACAAGGATGAGGAACTCTGAGATTACAGTCTCACTGAATTAGGATCCAAATAGACTGAAGCCACTGGAATTTTCAGGGCAGAGTGCCAAAGGCCGGAACTATCCATTAAGAGTCTCAAAATTGGCCTTTAAATCCCTTTGTGTGTTTGGCTATGAAGTGATACATGCGTTCAGTGAGATTCCATAACTCAAGCTAAGAACACAACTTGAGAGCTATAAAGTGACAACTACCAAAGGTTTGACAAGGCTGGGAGATGTTCACATTCTGATCAGAGTGGAAAGATCTGTGAACACACAGCATTTTCAACAGAGACCCTAGAGAGGCCATATCTTAGCAGTAGGTTTATACACCTTACTCAGCAAAGCTTGAAAGCAAACCTTGAATGGATCCAGCTGATGTATTAAGAAACTAATTGTCTCAAATGTTTTAAATCATATTAGAAAGAAAAATATTCAGACAACATTCAAAATGTCCAGAATCCAACTCTATGTATAAGGAAGTAGAAAAATATGACTAATAACCATGAGAAAAATTAGCTAGTAGAAATAGATCCAAAAATGACAGAATTAACATACAGGGACTTTAAAAAAGTTATTATAAAAATAATTTTAATTGAATGATATTTCATAACTCAAGCTAAGAACACAACCTGAGAGCTATAAATTTTTAGAAAATTTTAATATAAAGCAAAGAAATAGAAAAAACAAATATGAGTCGCATTTGTCTAGAGATAATAAATTCTGAAATGAAAGAATTTCGGCATAAGTTCAATAGTAGTTAGATACTATAAAAGAAAACATCAGTAAATTTGAAAACAGGACACTTGAAACTAAAATCACAAAGAGAAAAACTAAAATAAGATACCAGCTCATTGACCTGTAGGACAATACCAGGTAGGCATGAGGGGACAAAAGAATGTACATCAGAAATACATGGCCAAAACTGTTACAAATTTGATGAACTGTTCAAACCCACAGATCTAAGGAGCCCAACAAATCACAAACAGGCTGTTAAGCAAAGTTCATTATAATCAATTTGCAGAAAACCAAATATAACGAGAAAATGTTAAAAGCAGTGAGAATAGGAAACACACATTACATACGGGAAACAAAAATAAGAAATGACATGATTTCTCATCTGAAACAGTACATGTCAGAAAACAGTGGAAAGATACCTTCTTAATGGGCGTGCCTTGACTGCTGTATTTAACACTGCAGTCCTTCCCCACACATCTTATCCTCCTTACTAAAACCTGTTAGTGTTCTCCATGGCATTTATCACTGCATAGTATGGGTTGGATCTGGAGGAATGTCACCCAAAAGCTCATTTGTTAATGGCCTGGTCTCCAAAGTAGCAATGTCCAGAAGTGTAGCTTTTAGGAAATGGTTGGAACATGAGAGGTCTAAATTCATCAATACATTAATCCATTTGATGGATTAGCAATTGGAATGGATGTTGGGGTTGGGGGTAGGGGAAGCTGTAAGTAGGTGGGACATGGCTAAAGGAAGTAGGTCACTATCAGGTATGTCATAGGGACTATACCTTGTCCCTGACGCTTTCCCACACCCTCTTTTAGCTTCCTTGTGCTGTGAGCTTAGTGACTTTCCTCTACCGTACCTTTCTGCCATGATGTTTCTGCTTTGAAGCCAGCTAACTGTAGACAGAAACCTCTGAAGCCAAGAGCTGACATAAACCTTTCCTTCTAGTTACTTGTTACAGCAACAAAAAGCTGAGTAACACATTGCTATTTCCATATTTATATGTTTTTCTCCTTTATTAGGTGTAGCATTTTTTTCAAAGTTGTTCCCTGTTGTATCTTTAATATCTAGAAGCATGTCTTGCACATAATAGATGCCTAATAAATAGCTATTGAATGAAAGAAATGAAAGATGAATAACACTTGGTATTGTATTAAGGTTCTCCAGAGAAGAAGAACCAACAGGGTATGTGTGCGAGTGTGTTTGTAGACAAGATTTTAAGGAATCCATTTCTGTGATTGGAAGTATGACAAGTCCTAAATCTACAGGATGGAGACTTAGGGAAGGGTTTCAATTGAGTCTAAAAGCAGTCTGCTGGCTGATTTTCCTCCCCTCTTTCTCAGGGAAGGATTAGTTCTTGTAAAACCTTCACTTGATTGAATGAGGCCCACCCACACTTTGGAGTAAAAGGTGCTTTACTCCAAGTTCACTCGTTTAAATATAATCTCATCTTAAAAACATCATCACAGAAATATCTTGAATAATGTCTAACAAAATAACATCATAATAAGGGTATGGAATAGTCTTATACGTAGTAGTATAAAGTCTGTATAGTATAGTATATAGTAGTGTATAGTCTTAAACTACTGCCATGTAACACCATAAATTGGTACAACCACTTTGGAGAATAATTTGGCAACATCTAATAATATTTGAATATGTGTATATCCTACTCTGAGCAATGTTACTTCTGTTTCTATGTCCTGGGATGCACTTTAGATCACAGATAAAGCTTAAAATTTTTTCTGAAGAATTGTTTGTAATAGTACAAAAATGGAAACAATCTAAATATATTATGGCTGGAAGAGGAATCAGGGTTTAATAGTGTGCAGGAGTTAGAAAGAATGAATTAGAATTACGTATACCAACATGGACTAATTGTAAAAGTTTAATGAAAAAAAATTAGTTGCAAAAGGATTTTTTAATAGTTTGATACCACTTTTGTACACTTTGACAACTCAATAATATATTGTTTGTTGCAATGGATTTTTAATCAAGATTTTTTCACTACCCAAGATTCTGCTGATTTCATACTCAAAAGGGAAATCCTCAGAAGCACAGACCTTTCATCTCAGATCTTGTGGTAGAGGTGACTAAAGATGTGCATAACAAGTTATTCAGTGGAAACTTGCTCATGTGACCAGTGGACTTCTTGTATCTACACCCACTTCTCTCATTCTTACTCATTTAGGACAATGACTTTTAAAATATGTAACCTATAAACAAACTTAAAAGTCAAGAATGCCAATGTTCCAAAGACATATTGCACATATTTTCAGTTAAAGAATAGATGGAAGAATTGAAATTAAAAAAAAATCACATGGGAGTCATAACATTCAGTTGCACCTATTGATATTTTTTACTTAAGTAACTCAGTATGTTTTCTTTAAGAGTGAAATAAATTGAAATTGATGTACTGTTTTTTTCTTATTAAGATTTTTTTTTTTTAATTAGATCTTAAGTTTGGGGTAAAGACATTGCATTTGAAGTTAACCTTATTTTTTTATTTAACACTTAACAATCTTCTCACAAAAAGTCTGTTCTGATCAGGCCTCTGCACTGTTTTTGTCTCCTTTGTAGTTATCTGATGACGGGCGCTATGTCTTGTTATCAATAAGGGAGGGATGTGATCCAGTGAACCGACTCTGGTACTGTGACCTGCAGCAGGAATCCAATGGCATCACCGGTATGTTATTTTTCAGACACAGATAATTATTCCAGGAAGCTCCATGAAAAAGCAATTATTTTGATTTTCTAAGAAATCTTCTTCCATTCTACCATATCATCTCAGTTCATATGATTTTATTCTTATAAAATGAAGAAAAATGGGACGAAGCATTTTCTTTGTAGAGTGAGGTTAACCATGTTTTGTGCACTTGAGTGTGAAAATATCCAGATGGAAAGTGTTAGGGAGAAGCTGCCCATTGGTTTGTAAAGTCTTATAACTATCTAGATGTAATGGTGCAAACCATCACAGGTGAGGGGTTATTAGAAAAGAAAGATTTGCCAGATTAACAGACAGCTCCTCAGTCTGGAGCTACATGCACAGTAACAGCCTGATTTTGCTTCCTGAAGACTTATATGTTGGAATGGGAAGCATAGAACCAGCCATTCTGAAGATGGTTCATTTTTAATGTTATCTTCCAACATCTATCATACCAACACTGTCATCAAGTGTGAAAGCTTTGCAATAGCATAATTTACTATGCCTCAGATAGACCCTGAATCTCTGTCAGACAGGCTGACATCTGGATAAGGGCACTGAACTAATTATACCATGTTCTGGTTAATGAAAAATAAATATATTGTAGAGATGCTTGAATTAGATTTTCAAAATGACAATATTGAGTGCATTTCTGTAATAATTTATTTACCCTCTTTAATATCTAAACCTGCATTACATGATTATATGAAAATATTTACTTCTGATTGGGCATCCTGTCATTTTTAAACTTCTGAGCCGATCCACATGCTGGCATTCTTAGATACTACAGAGCACCATTCACACAAAAACCTGGATGAAGTTAGCAACCTTTTTTTTCTGGTGTTAAATATATATCTCCATTTGATAAAGCTGTGTTATTGTCTTCAGTTAAAAATAAAAATAGGTACACCCATTTTGGTCTCAAGAAAACTATAACAACCATGTCAGTGTTCACATTCTCTGACATTCCTCACCACTATGTCTATATAGAACTGAGCAAACCTCTTAGGATTGAATGTGAATGAAGTAGTGTTGCTGTTCTGCACACAGTTCCTATGTGATTCTGAGATGGTAGAAAGGACCTAACCTTTCTCCAGTTTATTAAAAATTCCAATTATAGTGTTCTTCCTCAAGAGAGCACTGTTTTCATTTTCTATTTATAACTGCATTATGTCTTTAAATTATTAAGTAGGCTTATGTTATTAAAAGATGCAAGGTAACAAATTAAAAATACAAATTGCTTAACTTGCTTCAAATAGGGACAAAATTCCATACATGTACTCGTATATTAAACTATTATTGCTTAATGCACTTTAAAAAGAGCTAGCAGTGTACTTTGAATGAAACAGGTGAATACTGCCTAAACTCAAAGAAACTTTTTTTGTTTCCTTCCCAATGTCCTTATCTTTCCCTTTTTTTACCCCTCTCTCATTTTATCAGAAAATGCTAGGAATTAGAGAAGAGAATACAATAGACAAGAGATTGGGATTCCAAAAGGAACATGGTGTGGAGGTGCACTAGGCCCTCAAAAACAAGATTCTAGACAGTGTAGCCATGAAGGAATGTGAGAACACAAAGGAGAAGCATCTGAGAAACCCTAAGTGGCTATGTGAAGACACAAAAAGAAAGAACAAATTATGTCTCTTACTGTGTGCTCACAACAAAGATCACTTCTGTGACCTCAAAATGTAGGGGGTGGATTTCTCCCCACCAACAAGCAAGCATTCCATCTGCAGTGGTTACCTGCTGGGTGTCCTTCAATTCAATTCAGTTGTGACCCCATCTTCCCAGAGATAGCATCAGATCCTGCAGGTTGAACAATCAGTCCCATGAGTTTACCCCCACTTAGGACCCAGTCACAAGTCCAGACTCTGGATTTCTGACTTAGTGGCTACCAGTTGGGGTTCCCACTTATTGTGTTCAGTTAATTTGCAAGAGTAGCTCACAGAATGGAGAAAAACACTAGACTTAAATTTGCTAGTTTATTTTAAAGGAGACAAGCAGCCAGGTGAAGAAATATAGAGAGTGAGATCTGAAAGGGTCCCAGTGTGGGAACTTCTGGGACATGGAGTTGGACTGTGTTAACCTCCTGGCCCGTTTTTGTTCACCTTTCTGCAAGCCTCCACCTGTTCAGCTGTCTCGAAGCCCTTTGGGGGCTTGCATAAGCATGGTTGACGAATGGACAACCATGCACAAATGTGATTGGGTAAAAGGGGTGTGATGTAATGATACCAGTGGGGAAACACAGCGAGGCCTGTCTGTTCAGATTCTTCTTGGCCTCTTTGTGCAACATTCCTTCCTTGAGGGTTTGAGCAGGACTGAAACAGGGCGCCTGTGGTTAACTGTCAGAGAATTTCTTTGTGGCTAGCACAAAGGCAGGAAAGTAGGGGAAGATAAGAATGTGTTTTTAGTTTTTATTATGGTCCACCTTGGTGAAAAGAAAATCTCATCCCTGTGACCTGCCTTGGAGAGAAAAGGGAACAGGGGAAAGGAGGGTAGGAGAAGGTGAGAGAGAGAAAGAAAGAGACAGAGACATACACAGACTGGTTTCTGAGACCTAAATGCCCCAACATTATAACAAAAGATTTTGACCTTTATCACTCTGATGCTGCTTCAGAAACCAGGGACAAAAGGCCCAATAATTTAACCTTACTGTTCTAGTCATTTAGATATTACAAGGGCTATGGGAGTTACGAGCCAAAAACCATGGACAAAATAAATCTTTCTTTTTCTCTCTCTCATACACATGCACACACATACATGCACACATTCATATATACATATTTTACATATAATATATCTATATATAGATTTTAGATATATGATATATATCATAATATCACAGCTTAGATGCATTCAGATTGTCAGAGCCTATTTACAGAGTAAGCCAGATCCTAACCTGTCTTCCAGCATGGTCTTTCTTGAATTACTGACAGTTGACTTCTTTGCTTCCTAGGGAGGCTTTTGTGCAGCTTAAATGAAGAGACTGACACAGGGCTACCACTGATAAATGTTAGTATAATTGTTTTCCAAATTGTTCTCTTTTTTTCTTAAGTCTTCCAGAGAAACTTTAAGATTATTATGTCATGATATGAAATAAATCTATCTGCTATAACTGTGTGTAAACACAAATTTTCTTGGGACTCTCTCTCTTGGAGTCACATAGGACCGACACATTTTTTACTAAAGTTATTCTGAGGTGCTTTATGAGTGAATGTATCAGAGAAGCAGAACCAGTAGTTGGTGTATATTAAGAGATTTATTATGAGGAATTGGCTTATGTGATTGTGGAGAACAGTTAGGCAATTCTGAGATCTGTAGGGCCAGCCTTCAGAAGGATGGACAGTCTGGTACTATTGTCCAGAGGTGGAATTTCCTCTTCTCTAGGGAAGCCTCAGATCTGTCTTGAGGCTTTTTCACTGATTGGCAGGTCCAGAGGGATAATTTCCCTTGCTTAAAATCAACTGATTGTGGATTTTAATCACATCTACAGAATGCCTTCACAGCAACACTTAGGTTACTGTTTGATTAACTGGAGACATCAGCCTGGCCATGTTGATAGCAAAAAGACCATCCCAGTGAGCTCATGGAAAACCACCTGGAAAGTAAGAGTCAACACATTTTATGATACTATCCTGGTTTCACTTTTTCCCAAGGTCACTAAACTGACAGTGTTATAAGTTCACTGAGGCATTTGGGAAAGTAGGTCATGTCTTGAGGATAAGAAAGCAAAATTGGGAGTGGATAATGGGAGAGGTGGATTTGAAGCTGTTCTGCTGGACACTAATGGGTTAATCAAGAGCCTTCTCCAGTAATAGCTGCCAGGTTCCAGGTACAGTGTGGGGCTTGTCATCTCTTTTAAATTATTGCTTTACTAGCATTGAATGTGTGGATAACAAACCTCATTCTTTTGAATGGCAGTCCTGGGATTCTGGAAACTCTGGGCAGTTGTAAGGATTGACCCAGTGGGGGTCAGTTTTGCCCTTGGGTTCAGAAATTAATTGCACAGGACAAGATTAAGAGAGTTCTTGTTAATTGATCACTGGTTCATTGTGGGTTGGTAATGTGATTATTATGACTGTTTAAAGAAACAAGTACTGTTGTCCCTTGGCATCCATGGGGGTTGGTTCCAGGACCCTTGGCAGATGCTCAAGTCCCTTATATTAAATGGTATAGTGTTTGCATAAGCCCTACACATATTCTTCTGTATTTTTCACATCATCTCCAGATTACTCATAATAGCTAATACAGTGCTGTTACATTAGTTGCTATGCTATACTGTTTAGGAAATAACGACAAGAAAAATGTCTGTACATGTTCGATACAGTTGCAATTTTTTTTTCCAAATATTTTCAATCTGGCTGGTTGAGCCAGAGGATGCAGAACCTGCAGATATAGAGTACTAACTGTACTGTATGTTTTTAATTATTGAAGAGATTAAGTAAATTTAATCTCTAAAAGGGGGTCTAAAAGAAGACATTGCAGATATACAGTGATAATTAAAATTATTCAAATAGTTCCTGTCAATTATAGTTGGGTATCTTGGGACAATAATTACTACTAAGCTTTAGGTTATATTTGAATTTAAATCTGTTCCACCACTCAATAACTGGTGACCCTGGAAGGTTGTTTTCCCCTCTCTTAAGATGCCCATGTATGCAAATAGGAGAAGAGTGTCTGCCTCACAGAGAATTGTGAAAAATGCTGGAAATGCATAGAGAAGGGCTCAGCAGACTTCCTGGCCCACAGCAGGTTCTCAAGTATTTCTTTATTCCTTTTTCTTTTTTTTCCCTTATCTGAAAGGGGAATATTTGGAAGCATCACACTTTTGTTTTAGATTACAAAGAAAAGGAAATTGAGGACATCCTTTAATTTTTTTTTTTTTTAATTTCAGTTATCAAAACTGCTCTTTAAAAAAAAAGACAAAACTACTCTAAATACAGGCTTTGGTATTAACTTGCAAAACCAGATTCATAATTAGA